AGTTATGGGAGAACTATGAAGAAGAGGTGCAGGGCTGCTGTTTCTGGTGGAAGCCACACAGCTTTCTGTAACTGGAAATAGAGTGATTTGTATGTTTCCAGTCCGTATCAATTTTGCATGTGTCTGGCCACAAGTTTGTTCTAAACTAAACCACTTCAGGGAGGGACGAAGCTGGGCACAACATGGGCTCCTCCGTGTTCTGGGGTGTCCCATGCTCCCTTGGTGGCACAGAAAGCTCATATACTGCAGCTGCTCCCACATTGCCAGTGTAACTTAAGGTGTTCTAAACTGAGAATACACTCACTTAAATTAAAATTATGGGTAGCCTAATTAGGAGGCAAGCAGAAGACTCTTCAGTCTATTGAGCTTATCTCCTACCTTGGTAGCTAAGCAAGAAGCAACACAATTTCCCTTTATAGAATCAGTGTCAACTTGGCCCCTTGCCTGAAAACAAAGACCACCACAGCCAACCACAAATGAATAACCACACCATAGGCCAACCCCAACCTCTCTCACCACCAAAGGAACACAAGTGAACAACAAAGAACCTGCACAAGCAACGCTAACACCAAACCCTACATATAGTAAGTAAAATAGAAACATCGCCACCCAACCTCACCCCTCACCCACCTCCACCTCTTTGCCCCTTTTCTTCCTAATGTCTCAAATGAAACTGATTTGTAAAAATGTTACATGGGGGGGGGGAATACGAGAGAGAGAGAGAGAGAGAGAGAGAGAGATTGCACACACTTTTGTAAATCAAGAAAATCTTTAATAATAATAATAACTTGGCCCCTTGCCCTCTGCCCTTACCAGCAGTTAGGTGGTGCTTTTAGTGCAGGCCCACTGAAAGAATTGTAGCATCACAATGATTTGTGTGCAGAGCTGGACCAGGAAGAAAGTTGTATGAGACCAGATTTGAAGGGTGGCCAGGGGCCTGGCCTAGCCCCATAGAAGTCCAGTAAGTGTTGTGTAAAAAGATGTATTTATCAATGACACAACTTTTTAGGCTGCATCCAATGGAGTTTTCTTAAACTAGCCTGTGAAGAGTGCATCTTGAGAAATGTTAGGAACAAGATGTTGAAAGAGAACTAATCATGTGGATTTCAGAGAGGAGATGTCCTGACTCTGGAACAATGCCTGGAAGTTTGCCTTACAAGTGTCTCCTTTTCAAAATAAACAAAAGTATTACCCTTCTGATACTGCATTCTCATGCTTTTAAAAGTCGTGGGTGTGACTCCTCCAAGCACAGCTGCATTTTCTAAGAAGTAAAGTGGGAAAGTATACCTTACTGGCTTACCCTTGCTTCTGAAAAACAACACCATAGTTGCTGGAAATGAGCTGTTTGATGGGAGTGGTAGGCTGACCCAGAAAGATGGTTTGAAGTACAGATGGAAAGGCCCCGAACACACTGCAGCAGGGAAGACATAAAGTAGTCCAGAAAGGAGGTCTCTAGAGCACAGACAACAGAGCCAGGCTACCCAAGTCCAAGAACAGCTATACCTGGGAAGCCACAAGTACTGTATTCTCATAATATGAGCCTGTTCCTTCAAGGACACTGCAATCCCAGTCAGGCCATTCACCTAGTTCCCAAACCACCCACCTGCAGCACCTGTCTTATTAGCCTCAGCTTATTGCCCCTACTCAATCATTGCTGCCAGACATCAATCCAACACTTTTGCAGCCTCTTCTGATTCAGATGGAATGGAGAGATAGAGCTGTGTGTTATTGGGATATTAGCGCATTGACACTCACTTAGTATCAGAGCTTCTTGTATGGAAATCTTGATGTGGGAGTCAGGGGATCTGACATGGATCTTAAAGGAAGACTTTTCCAAATGGTCGATGCAAGAGGAATCAGGGGCTTATCAACAATGTATCATGACATATGGGAAACCCATCAACAATTAGTTTTTAATGTAGAAGGCACAGCAGATTAAAAAATTCCAAAACAAGAAGGTGGGCCCCCTGAAATACTTTTGTCAGAGTGACAACACTGAACAATAGGTTGAGATGCTAATGATTACTGGCAATGCCACTGGTGATTGTGCAGAGCTTATACAAAGTCACAAGAAAAGAAAAAAGAGTGTTTGCAATGGTTACAAGGATGCTGTTTGTTAAGTTCAGGGTTATTATAAATGTTGCAACAAAGCCAAAAGGAAATCATAAATGGGCAAAACAACCAGCCTTTAATGCAAAAATATTATATAACAGAGATGTAGATGAGGAGTAAACATGCAAGTTTGCAAGAGACACGTAGCAGCTATAACAATATAACAACAATTGTCTGGGACAAGAGAGAAGATATGATAACCATCTTCAAATATCTAAAAGGCTGGATGGAGCAAAAAAAAATTCTCCTGCTCCAGAGGGTAGGATCTGAACCAATGGATCTGAGTTACAAGAAAGGAGATTCCGACTAAAGATCAGGAAGAACTTTCTGATAGTAAGAGCTGTTTGACAGCAGAACAGACTCCCAAGAGATGGCCATCTGTCATGTACGATCTAGTTGAAATTCCTGCAATTCTATGATTCTATTATTCAAATGCAGTGTGCAGATACAATATCTTTAGAAAACTCAGGAACTTGTCTACTGCAAATCAAAGTGGAACTACACTTTAAAGAGTATATTTCATATCTTGAGAATATATAGCTCATTCCTAATCAGTGTTTTTGACTTCTAGAAATACATGTAAACCTTCAAGTTAGAAGGGATAAATTTTGGCTCTTTTCTGCTTTTACAATCTCATCTCTTGATTGCCTTTTATAATTGTAAGGGTTTTTGAAAGGTTTTAAAAGGTGAGGGTCCCAAAAAATTGCGGAGCCTTCTAACCCATTGCATCCTAAGATGTACATGTAGATCTATATCAGCTTCCCAGCCTCTAAAACAAGTTTTGCCCATTTTGCCTATATATATATATATTAAATTCCCACCCTAACTGAAGCCCATGCTGGTTTCATCTGTGTGCAGAGCAGATAGCAGAGACTTTAGTTAGAGGTGTGTTTGTTGGAGTGCTGCATGGTAGGGGTTACCCCACCGCATTATAATATCTTCATACACAGGGAAGATTACTCACATTCTTATTGTTAATACAGGAAACTGTTTCACTTCAGGTCAGACAAATTGTCCATCCAGGCCAATATTACGTACTCTATCTGCTCGCAGCTCTCCAGGTTGTTGGGTTGGAAAGGGCAAATCTGTCAAGTTTGATTTCATAATTTTCTCATTTTTCTAATATTAAGCTCAGTTTTCTGCATGTCCATATCACTTGCATTTTTAAAAAGTTCTCATGAAAATTCATCAGTGGATTTCTTCTATTATGCCCATTTTGCAAGCACTTTTCACGCCCGTAATACATCTTTATATGTTATTTTCACTATTATATGGATTTTGATGCACACTTTACCCTAATATATGCATTTTACACACATTACTTGGCTGGACACCTGCACTGTAAAAGGAAGGAAAGAAAAGTGCAATTTTTTGAAGAATGGCTACATTTTTATTCTCGTATTATCTCAGAAAATTTGAATTGGTTAGGTTCGCTTTTAAATGCAAACTGAACTGAATTTCTACCCCATTCATAGTCTCAGAGATATCTCCCATTATTTGCTACATGGTCCCTTCTAAACATATGGAATCAGTTTGACAAAAACAAATTTTGGATGCTTTAAAATTCTAGTTTAAGTGGTTGACCAACAATTCCACTGTACAGGAGCATTTTATAAAACAAAACTCTGATTTTGGTTCTAGAAATGTTTCCCTTCAAGTGCAGCCATTTGTACGGCAAGAAAATTCTACCTCATACCAGCAGGAAGCTAGGATGTTGCGCTGACACAGTGGTGCTTATGAATCCTAGAGGGAGAGGAAGGAAAAGGATGAAAACAGGAAATCTACCAATGAAAAGAAAATAAGGAAAAAATGTAGACCTTTTCAGCAAATGCTAATCCAGTGTAAAGTATTTCCTTTTAAATAGCCACCATGGATATAGCTACATGCATAAAAGATAAATGCACAATGTAAATACAAAAGTCAAGTATAAAACACTATAATAATTATAATGGCAACAGCAACCATCTCTTCTTAAAAAAAATACCTGCATGTATAGTGGTAATATTCATAAAGATCAAGCGTGATGGTTTTTCTAACAAATTGTGATACACTACATCAGTCAGTGAGTCTGTTTATTAATGAGTAGCGTTTTATTTTTTTAATTTTTTATATATATAATATTTATTAAAGATTTTAGACATTATCACCAATCACATATAGACCCATCCCCAAAATACAATAGACAAAAAGAAAAGAAAAAAGAAACAGACAAAAATGACATACAACGTCAAAATCAACTTCTTGATAACCATACTTTCTTCACCTTTTTGGACTTCCTCACGTCCCTCGTTCCAAATTTATAAAGTTCTAGACAGCAAATTATCCCCTTTTTTTCAATTCTTATTTTGTATTTTTCCAATATTATGTCTCTAGTATAAATTACTTTAACCAAAAGCTTAAATATATAATTTAGACACAATATTAACCCAAAATTTAATTTTTTCTCAAATTTCACCTGTTCTCATATTCCTTTCAACTAGCTTACTGGTGCCATGTTGTTTTCGTTCTTGCATCTTTCTTAACATTCATACAGTTTACAATGTTTTTGTAGGTAGTCCTTGAATTTCTTCCAATCCTCTTCCACTGCTTCTTCTCCCAGGTCGCGGATTCTGCCAGTCATTTCTGCTAATTCCATATAGTCTATGAGTAGTGTTTTAATCCTGATCTTCCACAGGAACTCAGAACACCAGACTCCCTTTCCCATCTTTAAAACAACACACTTTTGTGATATTTATGTTAATCTCTTTGTCCTAACTTGCGAAGAAGTACGAGTTAAGAAATCTGGGAGCACGCAAGATTTTTCAGAAGGGACTGGAAATGGTTGGCTTCTCAAGCCTTTCACATTCATGCTAATGAACTAATGCCCTTTTGCCTTTTGTTCCCCACAGTGCAGTTTGACATGATGCGAGCCTGTAACATGATTGCCACGGTGGCTCTGACAGCTGGCCAGCTCCTCTTTGTGTTGGGATTGGTAGAACTGCCCATTATCTCCCAGGATACCCAGTGGTGGGAAGAAGCCATAGCCGCGGTGTTTCAGCTTGCCAGTAAGTAATTTCTGTTTTTTCAAGTGCTAACTTATTAGAGAGAAATTTAACAATAAAATGTTCACAGTTCCACACTCTTTTATTCCCTGTGCACACTCAGTCCATATAGATTGAATTCACAAGTACCTAGGCTCAAACCCACACAAAACCCTCCCTCCCGCTACGTCTATTGCTGTTTCAGTGCTCTGTAATATGGCTGAGCAAGTGCTGGTGCCATTATCAGTGAAAAGCAAAAACACTACCGCCACCCCAGTGCCTGAGCCTGTCTGTGGACTTCTTGTTCATTTCTTTTTAAAAATAGCATTGGTTGTGCACTCAATCCAGTTGCACTAAATCTTCTCACTGCCCCACATTATAAAGACCAAGAAGGTACATGTGAAACGGTGTCACTGAACTTTTAAAAATACTCAGATCTGTGCAAGCATGGTAAATCCAACTCAATCCTGATGCTTTCTTGGCATCTGGAGATCCTAGCTCTAGGCTAGGATTTCTGCATTAAGAGCTACTTGTGAGCCTCCTCCTTGAGGTGGATGCAGCTCTTTTCACGTTAACTCTTGCTCAGATCTCTCCTTTAATACTTCTTAGTCTGAAAGCATTGAGTTAATGATTTGGTAGAGGAGCTGACAAATTTAAAACAGAGATATGAAATGAAGATGGTCCCTGAAAACTGTATGATCTATGGGGAATCATGTTAATCAGTTGAGTAAAAATTTAATTTGTGTAAGTTTGTGTTGATTAAGGAGGGTTGTTATGCAATCTTCTCAGCTTCCCCAGGTAAGCTCAACCAACCAGACCCCCCAGAGCAGATTTTGGGGGCATGCAGGAGAGAGGAGAGAAACTGGATGCCCTGTTGTCCAAGTTCAAAGAGGGAGACATCATTGGATGTTGGCCCTAGTCATTTAGGACTAAGAAAAAGGTGCTTTTCTTGCTTACTATAGGTGTTAAATCAGTGATAGACAAAGATAGGAAGATAATGCTTATTACTAATTACTGTGTTCATGAATTGCCATTATGATTTTCTCTTATCTATTGAACCTTTACATAGGAGTTATATGGGCCAACTCTTGCAATTTCATAGTTTTTCAACCCTAAGTATGCTTAGCACAATGGTGCACAGAAGACAAGGCAGTGGCAGAGAAAGGTGAGGGCCAGGAGACACCATAAACTACCGTATTTGTCGCCCCATAGGACGTACTGGCCCATAGGACGCACCTAGTTTTGGAGGGGGGGAATAAAGGGGGGGAAAATTATTATTTTTTTTCCCCAGGCGCGGGGCCCCCAGAACAGGCAGCTCTCCACAAGCCTTGGGAGACCGGTGCGACTTCCCGCCGGGCTCCCATGCCTTGCGGATATCTGCCAGCCTCCAAACCAGGTCAGCTTGTGGGGCTGGCGGCGGGGAGAAGCGCGCTTCTCCCTGCCGCCAGCCTCCAAACCAGGTCGGGGAACCGAAGCCTGGGGCGTGCCCCTGGCTTCAACATGCAGGCTGCTATCCGCAAGCCTAAGGAGCCCAACGGGAACTCCCGCGGGCTCCCAAGGCTTGCGGAGAGCTTCCTGAAGCCTGGAGAGTGAGAGGGGTCGGTGCGCACTGCATTCGCCCCCATAGGACGGCTGCATTCGCCCCACAGGACGCACACACATTTCCCCTTCATTTTTGGAGGGGGAAAAGTGCGTCCTATAGGGTGAAAAATACGGTATATACAGGAAGCACAGGACAGCAAAGGATAGATCCAAAACCCAAAATTCCACCCCTGAGATTTAGGATACATAACAGTGGTTCTCCAATCTGTGCAAGCCGCCTACTATTCTGGATAAGTTAAACTGCTTGGAAACCTTTCAGCTATTCCCAAACCTCATCCCCCACACTCCCTTTAAAAGCAGCCTGAAGCTCTCTTCCCCATTGCTCCATCCTCCTGCTGTCCAAACTACCCTCCTCCTTTTTTTTCTCCATGAAAAGGAAATGCATTTTGGCCCTGTTTAGATTTGTTGTTTCATTGACAAACAGTACAGAGGACAGCCGTGTGCCTTTCTTCTATCAAGGCTGCTAATTTTAGATTAGGCTGCTTTCCCCCTCTGTGCTACAGTCTGTTTTAAACACAGTCAGAGAGAGACTGAAGGGCGCCAGGATATCCCGGCACAGGAGAAGGAAATGCCTGCTGTTACCTGTTATGCAAGCTGAACCTTGAAATCCTCAGTACTGGGAGGGAAAAGGAGAGAGAGGGAGGAGCCAGAATCAGAATGTTCAATGCAAGGCTGCTAAGACAGACTCAAACAAGCACTGCAATTTTGATTCTTGAGCTCAAGGTGTGAAAAGCACAATTTGGCAGCCAATAGAGTTGGGAATATCAAACTGCACTACTCCAATGCCTCTGTTTTGCAAAGATGATGCAATTTGTCCCATGAGAGGATGGAAAGAGGAGGAACATAATGCCGGCCATCAGATGCACCAATCTCCACTAGATGGGCTTCTATATTATCTACCTATTCATGATGCTTAAAAATAAATAAATGTTCCCATTCAGGAAGGAATTGATTTTGTTATTTATAACAATAGCAGAAACAAGATGAAAGCTACAAGTAGAAAAACTGTAAAATAGTAATAAAAAAGATTTTCCACAATAGTCTTGTAATAAGTTACATGAAACACTTTAAAAAGTCTCATTAGCTTAACATAAGCCTGCACTGAAAATAAATTCTTCTAGACATTCAGATGATTTGGCTGACAAATGTTGGTGCAGAACACATTTGGATACAGAGCAAAGGAGGGATGAAACCTCTGGTATGTTCATCTCAAATTCGGCCTCTTGGCATTCATTCTCTCTGTTCAGATGGGACAGATGTTGGAAGGTTAGTTTGTTTGTACAGTGGCCACATGCAGGATAGAGTTCCCTGACTGAACAGAGGAAAAACTAATGTGTTCCTTATGCTGCATAGATTAAATGGATTTTAACAAAAGCTTTAATTGTTGAGTTAAATAACCAGAACTAAAACTTCTGGGTTAGCATATTAGCTTGCTCTTGATCTAAGGGAAGCAATATAAGGCCCACAGTCATGTCTGGCCCACACTGTCCAATGCATCATACACCATGATGCACAACAGACAAGCATATGTGCTGCCTTGGTCTGCAACTTCTATTTCTATTTTGACAGGGGACGGCTGTCTGAAATAGCATGCAGTCTAAAAGGCAAACAGTGTTAAGAACTTCTGAGAAAGAAGTATTTATGAAGGCTTCAATATTATTCACAGGATTAGCTTATCTTTGTTATTGGACACCAGGCTGGTATTTCACGGAACTCGCCCCACTGATTCTTCAATATTTTCTATCATAATCTCTAGCTTGGAGGGCCAACAATTTGCATGCGAAAAACTGGAGTAACAATTCAGAAGACCCTTTGTGAATTAGCCATTCCCTGCTCTCCATGCTTTAGCTTTTTCTTTTATAGGGACGTGGGTGGCACTGTGGGTTAAACCACAGAGCCTAGGACTTGCCGATCAGAAGGTCGGCGGTTCGAATCCTTGCAACGGGGTGAGCTCCCGTTGCTCGGTCCCTGCTCCTGCCAACCTAGCAGTTCGAAAGCACGTCAAAGTGCAAGTAGATAAATAGGTACCGCTCTGGCAGGAAGGTAAACGCCGTTTCCGTGGACTGCTCTGGTTCGCCAGAAGCGGCTTAGTCATGCTGGCCACATGACCTGTACGCCAGCTCCCTCGGCCAATAAAGCGAGATGAGTAACACAACCCCAGAGTCGGTCACGACTGGACCTAATGGTCAGGGGTCCCTTTACCTTTATGGTAATTTTGATGGATGCCATTCAGGGAGGACTGACAGAGAGGGAGTGTGATTATTCCTCAGGGGCACCTATATTATGCATTATATAAAGTAATCACAAAAATACTCTTAAATGTTATTGCTTTTGCCATTTAAACTTAAATATATCAAAGTGTAATCCTTTGATTTACTTTGACTCTTGCTTGCATCCACCAACTTCCCCATCCACCCCCAAATCATGAAACAGTACCCATGGGCTGGAGATAGGAGGAATATCTGGATAGGGGAAGTGCTGTAGTTGAGTAATAGAGGAGTCTTGGACATCTCATGAGAGACCGCTGCCTGAAATCCTGGAGCTCTGCTGCCAGTCTACTGAGTTAGATGGATCAATGGTCAAAGTCAGTATCCGATAGCTTCCTATGTGCCTATGACCAAACTGTATTCTGGAACATAGGAAGCTATTTCAGCTTCCCATTCATTCAGCTTGTCCTCTTCCATACTAGCCTTGTCAAAAATTCTATGGAAATCTCGATTGTGAAAGCAGACTACAGTGGAACCTCGTGTTACGAACGGGATCCGTTTCGGAGGCCTGTCCGTAACATGGAACTGACGCAAGCCGAAGCGCCGCATCTGCGCATGCGCGAGCGGCGAAACCCAGAAGTAACCTGTTCTGGTACTTCTAGGGACGCAACATGAAAGCACGTAACCTGAAGCAGATGCAACATGAGGTATGACTGTATACATAAAATAAATACGTACATTTTAAGGCAAGATTTATGAATGAACACACAAATGGTAGGTCTTCTCTGATAGATTACGTCCTTATTGATGCCACACTGAATGGGAAGAGAAGCAGGGTACACTCTCATAAAAGGCTTGAGAAAAATGCTGGCATAAAGCAGTAATCTCAAAGCTTCTTCAGACATAGCACCAACACAGAACTACAATTTGAAACATTGGGACCCGCTTTTTAAAAACAAAACTAAAAAAAACCCCACCATGCATGTTACCAACTTCTTGTTTCTTTCTTTAGGATGACCAGATGCATCCTGTACCCTTTAGTACTTGTACAGAAGAGAGAACTTTGGAAGGCGTTGCATGTCACGCAGGTGTGTGCCTGCTAAAATTCTTTTATACGCTGTGGGTAAAACCTCAGTGCCTAGGACTTGCTGATCATAAGGTCGGCAGTTCGAATCCCCGCGGAGGGGTGAGCTCCCGTTGTTCGGTCCCAGCTCC